CATTTTATTGACTCCTAGCTGATGAAGGTTAAGTGCTCTGTACTAACAGGTATCGCTCTAGGTGCGCCAATCACATGAGTTTGTCACAGATACATAGCTCAATTAAAAATAGTAAGTAGACTAAAGCCTTTCACCCTGGGGTATAGTTCACAGGTAAGATTTAGATCAGCGGCAGAGATATGGGACCTAATAATTACACATGTGGGGGCAGAAAAGAAGGTACTAGAATAGCCACTTGTACTTTTTGGGGATAACAAGGGATCATAGGGGCAGGTATCAAATCAAAGTCCCTAGGTAGCAATATTGAATGAAGTCGAAGAGCAAGACTAAACACCTGTACGCAATGTCTCTTGCAAACCTGGGATTGAAGTATTGTTCCAGAGCCAAGTTCAGTTATATTTCGCAATACCAAAGAAGTTAGTCAATGAGACAATAAATCAGAATACTGCACCATGTCGAATTTTTACTCCCAAAAAGATCGATTTCTACTTAAGCCTCATCAAGTTTAAAAGTACGACCTTGTACAACCTTATTTCAATGAACACACCTCTCATCGGTTATTCTCAGGTCTTAGCTGGCCACTAAATGTACGCTCACTGTCATGACGGGATAATCTTGAATCAGATTCAAGGAGATATATCATGGCGAGCTATTCTGAAGTTGAACGCTTGGAGAATCTCTAAGGAGGCGGATCAGCAAATCTCCGACAGTTAAAGTGAGACAGGATAATGTCATGGATAGGTCTTTGGCATTTTTTGGATTGTATCCTGTTAATTTGTTTAACTACAAGACGCTATTGCCGGCACAGGCTAGCTCCCCATCAATACAACTTGTGATAAATTCTGTGTATATTTGTAGTAATATATTTTCATTAGTCACAGGGGTTCTGGCCGAGTGGTTAAGGCGCTGTGTTTAGGTCCCGTATCTACTCCGCAGTGGGAAACCGCGCAGGTTCGAATCCTGCGGACCTCATTAAGAGTTTTGTACATCTTGTATATTCCCAGCATTCGCGATCCCTATTGCCGTACTTCTTTGTTTTGTCCTACAAAACCAAACACCTGTACGCGGTGTCCTCTACGAACCTGGGAGTGAAATATTCTCACAGAGCCAAGTTCAGCCAATTGTCGCAACACCAAAGAAGTTGGCCCACGAGGCAATGATACGAAATACTTTACTACGTCAATTTTTCGCTCCCAACGAGTTCATCTGCTATCTGAGTCTCATCAAGTCTACAAGTACGACCGATTACATCCTTGTTTTAATGACCACACTTCTCATTGAATACTCTCTGGCCTAAGCTGGCCAGCAAATACACGTCCTCGCCGATATTTACACCCGACGGAGGAAGCAAAGCGTGGCGCACAAATATGGGAAACTGTTCTTTGGGACGAAATTGAGAGGAATCAAGACAAGTTTACAATATGACGCAAAGGAAGAATACAATCCCGACTGGAGTGAGATTTGAGATTTTAGCAGAGTTTTTACAAATTGAGCTTTGTGCGTGCCAAGCCTTCTGTTGCGAGAGTGCAGGCAGCAATTAACACCGCCTTCTGAAACAGCAAATATCTACACAGATAATAAATCAGGAAAGACTCGAATGAACCAATGTGGAACACCTTCCAGTCTTCATAAACACCTGAGTAGGGCCCAGAGCAGTATAGCCATGTAGATAAGAAGCGAACACATTGGGTTCAATTCCTATTTGCACAGAAGAAAAGTTACAGGAGTAGATAACCCATGATGCCAATGTGGATATCCGTCCCAAAATGTCAAACACATGAACATGGCCTGCACTAGCTGAGCTAAAGGAAGGGGAGAAATACCGAGAAAGGCTGAAAATCGGTCATGTGAGGCCATGATGAACAATCCAGAAGACATTGCAGGGATAACAAGATGGATTCAGCCGGAAGGACGGCTAGGGCAGTCTCGACTGACGCTTGAAGTCGAGGCCACGATGAGGGAGCGATTAGCGATGCTAAAACACCGTCAATCACGATACCCAGCGGTGTATCAGTCCTAAAAGATACCAGACACGGTGTTGTGTGGAAGTACGTGAGATGTTCGTCTGCAGAATACCTGTATGGACAATTGGATAGCTCCGCAGTCGAGGATCTTGAGCACGTCTTGGACCGGGCTAATTTCAATCAAGTAAATGGGCCGCTAGTCGGATAGTGCAGCGGTACACCATCCAGGCCGTTCTCTCCAACCGATTCTGGATAGCTTCAACACCTACCCCAGATAAGATCGGAGAAAGCTGCTTCGATTTCAGTAAGTCTTATACACCCCATTCTCCCGCGTCTTGTATTCATGGGGTCACAAAAGTACACCGGATAAATATGGGATTTCCCGCTTTTCCCTGTGGCGGGTTGGCACAGTAAATGGTGTGTGTGGGTTTATTGTACTACTTGAGTCTATGACTATCTAGCACATTGGGCTCTTCTCTGGCCCAGGCCACACCTTGTACAGTGCTCCTATCCTCTTTTGTTACTTGAAAGATCATTGATATATTCCCCTTGATGAATAGCCATTCAGCTCTGTTTTTACCCGTGGAATTCAGCCACCTTTTCCACGGAACCTTCTACCCAAAAAAACATAAAAATGGTAGCAATGGAAACTGCGTGCGCGGGAAAAAGTCTCAAAAAACCTGCAGCCCCAGCCAGGCGAGGCCTAGACACCGGGACCACATGAGGTGCGCATATTCATCTACATCCCCCTTCTTTGTAACAGTCGAGGCCGACTTGATCCAATCCACCATCTCCGTATCGGGTGCTGGGTACGCTCCGGAAACTCATCGGATGGCTTTTCCTCCGTGATCAAGGTTTGGTGATGAGAAGGGCTCCGACCCTACCATCTGATCTGATCGTGGTTAGCTTCATGATAATGGTGATAGGGGAATGTGTTGAGAGATGAAGACGATACAGACCGCGAAAGCGATTGGGAATCCTCGTCGAAGTGAAGACTTTGTCACTCAATCTCGGCTCTGCAGACTCTACAGTTAGAGCTGGAGGTTCGTAGGGGACAGCACTCACAGGTGTTGAGAATAATCCCGCTACGCACACTAGAGATTAAACGCAGGAAAATTAAACTTCGAGTGATGTTTGCAATTGAAATCTGAGTGCGAGTGATCCAAATATCAAACTAGGTCATTTTAAACAAAATATACATCTTACGAAAATACATGTCTGGGCCTTACGGCAGCAAATAAAGAAAATTGTATTATTCATTTATTCTATGTGCGTCTGATCTCACCTGAATGACCGAACTATCTTAGACTTCACTGATACCAAGTCTCACTATCTGGAGAACCCGGTCTCAAAGTGTCGAAGTGCAAGTTTCTCCTCGGATTTAGCCACAAGCCCAAGCTCTTGGAACCCTTATTAAATTTATTTCGATCAGTACCGATGTTGGTTTTTTCCTATAGATCCCCACCTGGTCTTAGAGTCCTTCATATGCATAGATCTCATCCAGTCACCCAGCTTTGTTTCTCCTAGCTGCTTCCATTGTACCATTTACTTGATTCTACTGTTATTATCTGCATATGAGACACTTACAGAACCGTCAATCCATATATACTTGCCCGTAATACTGTGACCCTGACCGTAGGTTCAAATATCTAAGTAAAGGCTCCAGACAAAAACACCGATGCCTCGAAATATTTGAGCTCTGATAGTTTTGACAGCGAATTTTCGTAACTGTTTCTTTGATATCGATTACGAATTCTAAATTTATCGGAAGCTTCGGTAGGAGATAAGAAAGTTTTGATGAAGCAATATCTGTAAGGAATATTCGAGATGAAGAGTTTCGGTTGTGATACGAAAGTCAGACAAGTTTGAACCAGTCCGCGGCTTGTATTTCGAATTTAGACTATTGATTTGGTTGAGCTCTATAGTCGTAAATTGCCTGCAAATTAAAATTTCCATTAAATACTTACGACCGCCATTCATTGAAAGTTATCAAGCCTACCCTTTTCTGCGAATTAATCTCAGCTCTGAGGAAATATCTCACCGGCAGTTTTATATAAGACACAACAGATAGTAGTTTAGCTTTCGTCGTACAGGACGCAGGGATGGTTGGTTGTCTTGTAATTATATTTGTATCTCCACACAATTACTCGTACAATACAAGTGACGTTATAATGTGCGCATTCATCACCAATTGTTCACAAGCTCAATGTTACTCAAACGCACCTGAGAAACATCATCGATCAAAGTGAAGATACTTAGTTTAAAATACCATATACCTACTGTTTAGAAACAGAACTCGTGGTGGTATTAAAATATGAAATCTTGATGATAAATTTTTGTAAATTCAAGAGATCAAATTTATATTTATACAGGAAACTTATGCGTCGTAACTTCATAGCTTCAAAAAACTTAAATTCTACTTCAAGTTTCATATCTTCAAGTTTAATTTATTTCTTTGGTAAGGGTTTGACGACTAGAATACTCATTGAAGATGACTGAAAATATTCAGAGCTGTAGAATTGTGACCTCTTATTTCAAGGAATCTAAATCGCCGGTATTATCCCGATAGACGTGATTAAAAGACTCAGTCCTTAGGTGTTATTAATTCGCACTGGCAGGTAATATATCATAAGAAAGAATCGTGTACTTGATTAAAATTTATTAGCATAATTATGGACGTAAGCTATTCGAACGTCTATGAGCCAGGCTCCGCTGATGCTTAAAAAAGAATAATGTCATAAACCGTTGAGCCTGCGCGATTTTATCATCTTTTTACCATTTAAAGTTCGTGTCCTCCGCACCTTACACCTTGAATATATAAGAATCCAGATCCCAGCTAGAGCGCGAGGTCTTGATGAATCTCGGAAGATGGAAGTGCAGGGACTTTTTGCTCCTATATAAAGGATCAGAGTTCTACTAGACTTCCTATCGCTCTCCTTCGTTTCCAGACGCCCTTTCGTAGCCTTATTTTGCCCTTAGGGCTAATATTTTATCGCTTATTTGGCGAGTCATTTGTCAATTCCTAGGACATAGCCGTTATGGTGAAGGTAATTGAGTTGTTCGCGCATATGATCTACCCGATACTCGTCTTTCTCCGTCAACAACCGATTTTGATTCTTGTTCAATGTCTATATCAGAATCACATGGGCCGCAGGTAGAAACGCTCGTACTGGCACCCTCTGAGCGACCTTGAAGCATAGCTTGATTTTTGGCTGCACGCTCTTCATCTCTTCGTACTTCTCGCTCTCTCCAGGTCAGTATTCCGAGCAGAATGACTACTAGCGCTATACAAGGAACGCTGAGACCAATTCCAACCGCCAGAACAAGATCAGGCTCCGGCAAGCGCGTCACACCTGAAGTCCGAAACGCCGATACGGCGGAGGTTGTTTGAACTACCGCTGTTACGACAGGGTTCACAACGGCAATAGCACCAGTAGGCACAGCTAGTGTGGGACTAGGGATAGCTGTAGGCGGAAATTGAATGGGGAACTTCGCTAGAGTCGCCGTGGATATTATGGTGAGTGTGAGGGTTGTCATATGTTTTTTAGCTAATAGCCCTCCCACAGCCATTGAGTTCCTTAGGATAGTTGCATTGTCCTTGAGATGGGCCGATGAACGAGACACCGTGCCGCATGCGAGGGAATTGCTGATGATTCCGGCCTGACATGGATAGCGGTCGTTGGATTCCTCAATACTAGGCTCTTTCTTGTCCGGACGAGAAACTTTGAGAATTGTTAGTTAATTCTGATGTAGATTTTCTCGGAGCCCGTGAATAACTGACCTTTTGCACACTTCCTGGGTTGTCGCCAATCAAGAGAACTTAGGAATATGGGGCACTGTCGCGTGGATGTGGAAGCATCATTAGGTGGTAGAAATTGGGGTTGAGTAGCGTTATGAAACACCAGACATTTTTCCATGACAATGATAGGGATATCCTGACTATCAACTTTGGACGCAGAGAAAGCAACGGCAGTACTGAAGGCTGATATATGATTCCAAAGACGACAAGCTAGGTCCGTCGTCTGGATGGATCTTACAATGGAATACCGAAGGAGTAGTGGGCTTGGGTTATCGACATATATGTTTCCTCGATTTGGATCGACAGGCTCCGAAAAAACTGAAGGCAAAAGCCTGGTTCCCTTTCATCAAAGAAAATGTATGGAAAACTAGCAAGGAGGATGGTCTTAGCTTGTTTGCTGTGATGTCCTCTGGTCTGCGAGACAGGTGGGCAAGACGACACGCCCAGCCATTGTCGGGCAGGGGAAGACGAATCGTGGGCTCAAGGAAGTGAAACAATGGAAGCTGGCCAGGATGGATGGTGACGGTCTCCCCTCAGCGCCAAAGGACTGACGATGCTGGGTGCGCAGCGTCGGGACGATTGGATGGCACGGCGGTAGGTGGCGGGGTGAGGGGCTAGGGCAGCTGTCGACAATGTTGAGGTTGGGGTCTGATGAGGCGCGGACACGGCGTGGCTTCTGAGAAGCTGCGCGGGAAAAAAAGGAAGGATATTTCCGCATTGCGTACCAGCTCTCGTCCTACTCCAAACCAGCAACCCCAATGCGGCACTGGCACCAGCCAGGTTGTGATCTCATGGCGGGGGCAGAGAAGGGTTAGGGAGGCTATGCGTGATCCGCGTTCTTCAGACATGTGAAAGAGCTGCTCCATGCGAACAATGTCTGGCCCCCTTCCTCTAGGCTGGGATATTCCCCTGCATTATCATGGTTTCGCTGTCCCCAGTCTTCCAGGCCCCGTATCTATCCACCACCGTGCAGGCGTCGGGACAGTCGACACAATCTTGCCCGGCACCGCAATCCAGGCTTTCACCCGAAGCCGTCGCAAGATAGGGGCGGAGTTTGGAGCCGCGAATCGTGGGTGGGATCGATAGCCACGCCGCCGTGGAACTAGGGGAATGTTCGTTGTAAGATACTGACAACCGTCGTTATCCGGTGCAGCCTCGACCAGAGGTGCCAAAGGGAAGGAAGCGAGCGGGTGTTAATGGCAAAGTTTAGTCCTCTTTCATCTTAGCCGCGCACGTACTCCGTTAGAATCAAATACCCGCCTACCCGACATGCAGGCGTCCCAGGAAGCGACCGGCAGATGCGCCTGATATCCTCATCCATGCTCAGATCCACTTTAGACCCTCGCTCCTCTCTTCCACCTGCTGATCTCCATTAGTCCCTCTCATCACCTGACCAAAAGACGAGACACTTGTGATTCCTGGATGGGCTTAGCACGGCTGGCGGGGTGAGGTGAGTTAAGTGAGCTAGGCCGCTACCAGCTATCGCATCATTGGCGTTGCTTGCTCGCTCTAACAATCGGAATCCTACCGGTGTCGCATGGCACAGTGGTACACCATCCACTCACATCTCAGTCGAAGAGGTTAGATTTATTTCACACTCTTATCTAAGAGGCAAAATCTGCTCCGCACATAGTACGCCCTGCTCTAGCTTTGTGGGTTGATTGTGAATAATATGACGGAGGCAAGCTGCGATCATCGCAGATTAGGACGTTACGCCAGAATGGTTACCCACAGACAAATGTTGACTGTGTGGCGTCAACAAATATACTTTACTTCAGTATTTCCCCATGAAATTCAGAGAATCAATGTCTCATGTCTATGCGAAGTAAGGTGATGTGTATACAAGAAATTGATCCAATATCATAGCGGAATTCACCGACGTAGAAAATGATTTTCAGAAATCCGGCGATCTTCACGACTTGTGCAGAGGCAACGAGGGGTAACACTGTTCCATCTAACGTGTGGCAAATACGGCCAGCTGCTCTCACTTAAAAAGTATCTCCTTTGAATTCTTTGAACCGTCTACTCCCTCAGCTCTCAAGATCTGTGGTTTGAGAGAGCAGTAAGTTTCGTTTCGTCGGCCGATTGTTTTGAGAGATGGTTAGAAATTTGTTTGTTTCATTGGTCCCCCTCCACAAACTATCACGAATGGATTATTCTTTTATTGCAATGCAATGATGCTGTCCCGACGAGCTGTTAAGTGCCTTCTGAACTTCTTGTATGTACGAGAGCCGTTGTACAAGCACACTGCATAGCTTGCTGATCTCTTCTATGATGGGCCCACTATCAATGAATTATTATTGCTTGCAGCGACCCTTTGTCCCGGGTTTGATGGCTGCAGGAGGCCAGATGTGAGCTTCAAGTCCTTGTTTGAGAAGGCGGTCTGACAGAAGCTTTGCTATAATTATTTCCGTGGCCGTGAAAGGCAATTCTCCCATCATACTGCTGTACATGAGCCGAATGAAAGGTTTCGATGTTGTCTGGGTAATATATAGCGGGCATTCACTTTCATTTCTTTTCCACATGAGTATCCCTCTGATTTCCATCTGTGCTAGTTCCGTGCTGGGAGTACCCGTCGCGTCTCCTACAAACCTTATCTCGCACGCCCCCAGCTCGGCGCACGTGAGCCTGCGCACTTCCCTCGACCAACCGACGGAAATGGTGGAATAAACAAAAGCAAATATTCCTACACCAGCCCTCTACCTATCTGAAGTAACAAAAGCTTCGGCCTTTACACCAGTTTCACCCTGGTCCTAAGACTCCCCAAATACGACAAAACCCAGCCACAATCAAAGTCGATTTTGTGGAAGTGACAGCCTTCACGAGTCAATGACCGGCAGTTCATCTGGAAACATAGCGTCAAGTTTTTCCAAAAGCCTTGTGACCTAGATAGGTCTGATTCTATGCACCGACCTTTATAACATCGTTTCGAGATCTACTTTCTCTTTCACAATGGCCAGCAGCTTGATCACCAAGTGCCGCGCTTTCGAGTCTCAACGCCACGCACAGGCATAACGGCGATGTTATTATCAAAGGTTTCTCATTTATCCTCACTAACCAGACGCATGGTACTGGCCGATCCATTCTTCCCGCTCCGAGTGGCTACCTGACTTCTATGTAGCAGGTGTAGCTCTAGTAGCGCAAATATCCCCGTCGTGAACGAGGGCGTTGCCCTAAGATTTGCACCAAGTCCTGATTCAGACAGCAAAATAAAAGGTCTCTAGGAATGCGTAAACATTCGCCACGAACTGAGCTCGAGCCGTCCTCGCTTGGCGTACCGTATGACTCTAGTACTATGGAACAGCTAGGACATATATTACCTAGAAATAGAGCCGATAATTAGTGCTTATTGGCTTACGAGAGTTTGAAGTACAAGGTAGCTCGCCAACTGTCTATGGAGCAGTAATAAGCTTCCAGAATATTTGCTCAGCAACAAAGTCGTGTACATTTGAGATTAATAGAGGACTAGACTCTGATCCGTCGGGCCTCAGGAGGTGGTGACCTTTACCTATACTATCCTAACCAAGTATAGGGATCGAATGAGGTTGGATAGTGCAGTGGTACACCATTCGGGCCATTCTCCCGAGTAGATACTGGGTAGTTTGAACACCTACCCCATCTGGGACAGGAGAAAGCAGGTCCTAATCCAGTGAGACCCACACACCACACTCCCTCGCGTTGATATTGTACTTGTGGGATGGCAAAAGTTCACTTGGATAGCTACAGGGGTTTCACGCTTTTTACCTGTGGTGGGTATGCACGGAAGAGGATATGCGCCGTAAGGGTTAACTTCGACTGGTATCTGCAAATGGAATCTAAGTGTGAGTGTTCTAGACGTTAAGTTGTGTCATCCTACCCAAAGTACATATCTTCCGATAAAAACCTGCATGGGCCTCAATGCGCCAAATCAGGACATTTGAATAATTTATTTACATAAAAGAATCGAATGACTAGTGACCGCTAGAAGCTAACAGCTGGACAGTGATCGATGGTACCCCAGATTACCATGCGAACTGTGTGGCTGATGATAGGAAACTAGAATTTTCCTCGGACTTCTAAGCTTATTCGTCACAAATCTGAAAAAATAATGGCGGCTAGCATATATCTGCACAAACGCGAGTAGCATCGATGCGATGCTTTGTCAAGGATTCCAACTGTTCAGAGTGCTTCAGACTACGAGATAGGGCCAAAATTTCGAGAAATCTGATCGTGTAGGTATTGAGAACCTCCCAATATTCCATGCATTATGGTGAGACTCGGACGAGTCCTGGTTTGGTTATTTTTGTGCTATTTGGGTCGATGACTATCTAGCATGTTAGGCTCCTTTCTGATTCAAGCCACGTCTTGTGTAGTCCTTCTGTCCTCTTTTGTATCCAAAAATAGATATCTGATTTAATGCCCATAATGGATAGCGATGTAGCTCGGCATTTACCCTTAGAATTCAGCCTGCTCTATAGGGCTAGTCCCTCAGTTAGGTATATAATAAAAATCTAATCTAATCAGCCTGCTCCACCGAACCTTCTAACCAAAAATGATAAAATCTCCAAAATCTTGCAGTCCCAATCAGGAGAGACCTCGACACCGGAGCCACGCGAGGTACGCATTTAAGTCTATATATCCTTTCTTAATAGTAATATAGACCAATTTGATCCAATGCACTATCGCCGTATTGGGTGCTGGGTACGTTCCGGATACTCGTCGGATGGCTTTTCCATGACTCAGAAATGAATTTGTGAAGAGTAGGGCTTTGACCCTTCAATCTTCACCTGGTCATGTGGTCAGGAGAAATCTTCCGACTACTTCACCTTTCGCCGTCTCGGCAAGTGTCAGGCCCAGCTCTGTAGCTTCCGAGATTCCACTCCCAGAATTCCTTGGTGCCTTACTTCTGAGTTGGAAGTTTATACGTTTGATGGCTTGATGTGGCACATGTTTGAAGAGAAGCAACCACTAGGCTGATAGAAGCAGTATACTGTGATTAAATGCTAGAGAGCCTTGAATTATTACAACTAATTTCTGACTTTAATTCATATAAAGAGCGTGTGGTCTTACGGGATGTCGACCCTCATGGATAATTTAATGTTCAAGCGCAGAATAATGGGGTCCTGGCGCTCGTTTGCT